CCCAAAGGTATTTGTGTTCTCAGAAACAAGTTGGTAATAGGAAAATAAACAGCCTCATAGCCCACCTCTCATCTTCAGCAAAAAAGTATTATTATCTTACTAATTAGTATTCTACAGATGCAAAGGAAGCACAAAGCCTACCATGACAGGAATGCCGTCTAAAACCACCATACAGTTTGTTTTCTAATTTTGTCATTCCGCAGCTTGCACAAAGAGCAATTTTCTGTCTGGTGTCTAAACAAAAGTAGAAGTCTTGTGTCTGAACTCAGTTTTGTACATGATCCTTTGGTATTGTGGGACGTAGACATTTTCCTGACTTTCTTAGCTACGTACTCCTCCTCCTCATAGCTCCATGGGGTGCCTTTTCCTTTGCATTTAGTCCTCTAAATGCCTAGTGCGTTCACTTGGCATCTTGTGTTGCTGAGAGGATTTGTGTGGAGAGCACGCAGAGTTTAGAGGGTGCACCTCATTGGCAAACCTCAAAGTAATGCTCAGATGAGGTCAGTAGAAGGACCTGTGCTAAAACACTCGCTGCCTTCTGGCCCAGGGGCTGGTCAGGCTCTTGGCTTTGCCCAGTCTTCTTCCATGAACATCTTGGGAGATCCACAGGATGGCTGTGATGAGTACAGGGATAGCTGCCCACTTCAACCCTGGTGCATAATGTGGCACAAAATACGCTAACCTGATTTCCAGCCCTGCGCAGCCTGCAGCCTACGAGATTTTTTTTAAGCTTTTCAGGGTCAGCAGCACCACGGGAGGAATAAAGGAGGGTGTGAAGTGCCAATTTATGTACCCAAAACTAATAGAGATAACAACTATTGGAGAGAGAGTGTTTTTTTTATAAAATAGTGGTATTTAAAAATGTACTTCGGAAACACAGTCAGTTTTAGGGGGGTTTCGTGAGTGGGAAAATGAAACATTCTACAATATTTTTTTTAAAAAATCATGTCAATCTGAGTAGTCTTTAAAGAGAAGTGGAATGAATCTGAGTAGTGTTAACAGATAAACAGATCAGTCAATGAGAGCATAGCAGCTGTTTAGCCATGTTTTATTTTTAAGTAACTATTTTAAAACAATTACTCTTCATTAGTATTTCACTGTTACCAGGCATGGGTTTAGAACTTAGCCAGTGTTGTGGGGTTTGTGGGTAATTTTTTTATCTCATATTTTTATCTTTTAATGTAAGTTTTTCATGCAGTTGCTTCTAGTAAAACCCACCACTTGCTAACTGCCATCCAAGATTATATTAGATCTAATTCAATTTGACATTGTCACAGCAGGATTGTACCACAAGTCATTTTGTGCCATGGAATGACAAGTAGAGTAATTTTACAGTGAGGGTGCTCATTATGAACAGCAAGGAACAGTTTGAGGGGAATTACAGGACTGGAATACATGAATTTTGAAGAGATATTACAATTCCCATATGAGAAGAGTCCCTCAGCCTGCTGTAACATGCATTTTTTGTTTGCTATCTCAGTTCCACTGTTGACTTCCATGAAGGCTGTAATGTGGGTTTGGATTTGCACTGCTGCTGCTGGGTGCATGGTGCTTCTGTTCTTACCCCATTACTTTAATTTTGTTTTCCTTCTCCCTGCTGAACCCCCACTTGGCTCTCAGCTCCCAGTGACTGGATTAAGAGTAAATACTCAACTTCTTGAATTTTAAAATCCCTCTCCTTTTGATGAGCTCCAGATTAACTGGAATGGCTTTATGGTATTGTGCCATTATATAGCCAAAGGCCATAGTTTCTGATTTTAAAGACCATTTGCACTGGTCCTGGCAAAAGCCTCTGGTTGCTTACACCAGTGTGTCCCAGCTGGCTGTGTAAAGGCAAGCAGCAACTGTATTTTGAGCCTTAATTTTATTAGGGCTCTTTCAGTATTTGTTGTTTTCTTCTGATGATTCAGCTTTGATGACCAATTCGTTATGAGAAGTACTTTTCAATAACAAAGAAAAAACAATTGCGATTTCAGAGAAAGTTAGATTTGAGTGGGATACAATTTAAAAGCTCAGAAGATTGTCAGTGAAGAGAGTAAAAAAACTCTTTAAAACCTGGATTCAAACATTTCCCCTTTGTTGGTCTAATTTTAAATGTAAATAAAACTGGAAACATAAACAAAAGAGTAAGTTTTTGAGGGGAACCCAATACAAGCTACAGCTTTTGCTCAATTACAAACCCGGGTTTATTCCATTGAAAGCAGGACAGAGAATAGTTTTCAGAGTGACAAAACGAAGCGGTGCTGGGGCTATGAGCTATAGAGTTCTGTGGAGATAGAGGCAGGGAAAAGCTGACTCAATACCTTGGTGTTCAAGCTATACACAAAATAGTTCCATCTTATGTGTCTTCCTTGCTGTAGGGGGGTCCAGGAGATGAATGCCATGCTCTTGCTGTTTGTTTTACAGTATTTACATGTCTGTCTTGTAAAGACATGCTTGTGTCCAAAGGGCTTAGCCTTCCAGAGAGTATAAAAAACTGAGGATGCCTCTTAAAAGTAGCAACACCACAAATCAAATCTGGTGGTGGCAGATAAAACCATTCCGAGTGAGTTAGTGATGTGGCATAAAACCTGGTCCCTGCCACTGACAGTTGTGAAATGCTGCAAGATGTGACCATTATTTGCAAACCTTCCAGCTTTTAAAGGTTTATGACAGCTTCACAATCAGTTTGTGTCCTTTCTTCTGCTGTTCTCTGTTTTACAGGTTATTATAACAATTTCAGAGGTAGGAAGATGTATACAAGAGTGTCACTGTCTTGTAAACCAGAAGATATTCTTTGCTTTTGAATTAATTTTTTATGCACTTTTAAAATTTACCACATTTCATGTAAAGCTGTGTGTGATGGTATTTCCAACTGAAATAAAGTGTTTTTCTTTCACCCCCTCATTAGAGAAAATCATCTGCACAGTTTGATGACCTATTTTCATTGATTCAGGAACTTCTGAGAAATCCTGTCTTGCCTCAAAAAAAGACTCTGAAAAAAAGGTCTAGTTTTTGAGATCATAGCTTTCTTTGTCTAAAATCCTACTTAGTTTGTGGATTAGTCACCCAAGTAACATAATCCATATGCCAGAGTTTTCAAATGATTGAGGAAAAATTAAATAGATGAGCATTTTTTTTCCTTTTAACTGCCCATAATTTCTCACCTAGTGTTATTTTATGAAATGCAGTGCCCAAAGTAGTGATTTAACCATTTTGCATATGTTTTTAAAATGTACACATACAGTGGCAGCAGCCACTACCCCTCTCACATGTATTTGATTTTGAATGGTGGTTGTTGGGAGTTTCTGCATGTAGTGGGCAGCTTGAGAGCTCTGTCAGTAGCAGAAGTTGATACCTTCTATTAGAGATAGCATGCAATAGGCATAGGAGAATTTGTAGTGCACACATTAATATCTTTAGGATTTTTTATTCCAGTAGTAGGACAAGGTAGTTTATTCTCAACACGGATATTTCAGAATGTGATCGGAAGTCCTCTATAGCTCCTCATGTATTTGGAAGCTTAGAACTTCTCATTTTGCTTTTTTAATTCTGTTAGCTTAAGGACTTCAGCTGATAGCTGCCCTGCACATGTAAGCATAAGGCTACAATGACCTGAATTTTAAATACTTGGTTTTTTTTCTTGAACAAGAATAACAGAGTTGATTGGATACCATCCAGAGGAGCTGCTGGGTCGTTCAGCATATGAGTTCTACCATGCGTTGGACTCGGAGAGTATGACCAAAAGCCATCAGAACTGTAAGTCACATTCTTATTTTTCTTTGTTGTTTGCATGTAAAGCATAAATTGTGTGTACCTCAATACATAGTTGAAATCTGCTGACCCTTCCAGGGGGTCTGGGTTTTGACATAATTAAAACTAAACTTGGATGTTAGAGAGGAAAATCACTGTCTCTGTAAGGTATAGTGCAAGGTTCAGCTGAAAGTTTGAAAAGCTGAGTTAGGCAGTTCTAGCCTGGTGAGAAGGGCATTTCCTGATGGTCAAGAGAATTGGGATTGTTCAAAAAGAAAAGAGAGGGTATTGGGGTGACCTAAATGTGGCCGTCCAGTACCTGAAGGGAGCTTTAGTCTTCAGTATCAGGATGGTGAGGCACTGGAACAGGTTGCCTAGAGAGGCTGTAGCTGCCCCATACCTGAAAGAGCTCCAGGCCAGGTTGGACGTGGCTCAGAGCAACCTGGTCTAGTGGACTGTGTCCCTGCATATGGCAGGGACTGGAACTAGATGATCCCTTTAAAGTCTTTTAAAGATCCCAAGCCATTTTGTGATTATCTTTCTCATGTGCTGTTGGACTCAGCAGACAGAGCCAAAGGGAAATAGTGTTTTTTTGAATGTCTCCCTTTTGCTACCAAGTAACAACTGTCTTCCCCATCCAAAGTTGACGTGCAAGGAGATTTTCTTAAAGGAGTATTCATTATGAAAACAATACCTACTTCCAGGAACAGATGCTATTATTGTTATATAACAGATTTTGTTATTGTTATGCCTATGGGAACTGCCAGTTTTAGCTGTTCTTTAAGTAAAGTATCTGAATTATTTGGGGAGCAGAGATCAAATCCATCCAAGAGAGATTCCTCTCTTCAGGAACAAAATTTCCATCTCTTTCACATCAGGTATCTTAAAATAATAGGATTTAAATTTTCAGTCTCTGTCCTTAAGAGTTAGTGCTTTGGCTGGAGACAAGTTAGTGCGTTAATGTACAAATAACATTTCCCACCCTTGGCTGTTATGGCCCCCAAACCAGTTTATTGGAGAGTTCTAAGCAACACATCACTAAAACCTCTGCAGATGCTCTTTTAATAGAAACAAAGCAAAACAGCTAGACTGGAACCTACAAGACCAAAAAACAAACCCCATATACCTTGCTGTGATGAAGGCTTCTGTCCTCAGGAAAAAGCCCATGACTTAAGTCATGTCTATAGGGAATTGGCCACCAAATAGAATTACAGGAAGTATTTCTGGACTTCCCAGAGAAAAGTTGCAGCAAAGAATAGCTGTCTCACCTTAAGGGATTAGCTCCAATGGCAAAGATTCAGGACAGTTTTAAGTTGAAATGTTTCTTGAAAAAGTGTTTGGCAGTGATGAAAGTTGTATACTGGAAAACAGTGTTGATACGAATCATTCTGCTTCCAAAGCTGCTTAAAAGAAAAAAAATAGATCAGCCCATACTCAGTGAGAGTTATCTGGGAATGTAATTTTTAAAATGGTTTCTTAAGTAATATGTTAGTGTTTTTACCAGTAAAAATGAATAAGTGATATTTATAGATAGGATGTTAATATCCTGTGCTGGGCTATTGAAAATCATCCTGTGAAATCAGGGGGTGTGCTGCACTGGTGCTTTTGAATCATTGGGTTGGATTTCTAAGAATGGGACACTACCAGGGAGGGAATAAAATGGGAGCTGGCAATCCATTTGGTAATGGGAAAGGGAAGGTGAGCAAGCCCTTGTTGGTGATCCCCATCCAGTTAATGAAATGGGGGCACTGAGTTACTTGTCCATGCAAAGATTTCTGGAGAGTTTCTAGTATCTACAATGACCAGGCATTAATACATGTTGCTCCTGACTCCAGCAATTCAATTACCCTCACGTCGTACAGGGTGTGTCCAGATGCAGTTTGTGCCCACTGAAAAGGGCCATGTCTTACAAACTTGCTGCAGGGTACCAGGTCTGATCAAGAACCACAGGACCAAAGTCTATTGCAGTGATAAATGCAATTTCCCACAACAGAACTCTCAGTTTAAATCGCCATCAAATTTGACCCTTTTAGTTTTTCTAAGATTAATAGTTCTTGTGTCTTTTGGGACCATCAGCTTCTTACCAAGTCAGAGAACAACCACAAAGTGACAGCAAGCTGTGACTTGACAAAACATAAAAAGGCCATGTCCTTTTGTATGTGGAAATAGCTACCTCAAAATTCATGTTCAGCAGACCTGCATTTATTAGACAATAATATTTATCAGAAATATACTCTGTATAGAATACAGCTCCTTGCAATAATGCAGTCATCAATTCTGATGGTGCCCACCAGTTAGCAGAAGTTCAGCAAGCCTTCCAAGAGAAAATCATGGTTTTGTGTTCTATTAAATTCATCCCCACCTCCCCCCTCTCTCCACACAAAGATGAGGAATATAATTGGAGCCTATTTCATTGACATGTAACTAGTTCTGTACCGATACAGGTAATGTATACTTTATAAAGTAAAAAAAAATAGAGATGTGAGAAGTTCACACTGAAGGCAGAACCTTAAATGTAGCATTGGTAACAAAGTCGGCAGTTACAAGTGTATTAGTAATTTTTGAGATTACCCCATGGAGGGATTCTGCTGTACTTTATTATATCAGAACATGACATGCTTTGAATAATAATAATAAAAAAGATTAAAGCAGTAAAAAGCTTCTTTGTAATGTAACAGGCGCCTACACTGTGACTCTTATTGATGAGCTGATGATTAGGAAGCAGCGTAATTATGTTTCACAAACAGAGCAGAACAGTCCAGTCACTAAAACGCTTTGAAATGAAAGCCTTTTGATTTTGTTCCACCAGAAGTATTTAATCAATAAAAGTAATGTTCTACTTTGTCTAAATGAATTAAATGAAGGATGATTAAATACTCCTAGGAAGAAAACAAACAAACTTCAGAAATAGAAGGATAAACACAGCAACAATTATCTGCAAAACAGTTGTTGTATTTCACAGGCCTGGATTTGTACATTTGTATAGTGGCGATGTAAGAGAGGCTGACAATAAACAGCTTCTTTTAATGGCCACATTCACATGGAATTTTTCTGTAAAAAGACCATGGTATCAATTTTCCAGTCCTCCTGAGTCAAACTGCCTTATTCCTAGGGCATTAGTTCGATGGCATACTTCTTTTGGATGTAAAAGGTGTTTAACAGGAAAGGCTGTCAATGTGTGGTCAAAGGTTTAGTTCGTCCAGTTCCCACTTCAGCTGCAATTCAGTGTGGCTATGTCTACTTACAGGTACAAGCTCTTGTTAGTGAAAGTACAGCTTGTCTACTCTAGCCCTAATTTTTTTGCCATTGATGAACATTATTTTTCCTTCACTGACAGCTTTAAATTGCAACAGACAGGACATCATAAAACCTTACATTTCAGAAGTCCAAAGCTCCACACTGAAAACTCATCCTCTGCAAATATTGCAAAATATTGGAGGGTAGCAGGGCTACAGATTTCAGCCTTCAATCATTTAGAATATTTAAACCTAAGTTCTACTGTTGTCAGTTTATTGTTTGAGAAAGACAAGATAGTTAAAAAAACCAGTTAAATAAACATTATTTGATTTGGTGATGTGAGTCTTGGTTTCTTCTATGCTGCTAATTCCAAGCTCTTGGAATGGAGCTTGGAAGAACAACACAGATCAACCAGTTCAACCAGTGGAAAAAATATAGTAGTTCAGCTTTTTGTCTAGACAAAGCAGTCCTGTTTACTATTCTTAATTTTGATACCTTTTTAAGAATTATATTACTATCATGAGATCTTAGTTTTTAAAAAAAAAAAATCTTAGTGAATATAGTTTTAAAATCACCTGATTTTTATATTTATCAAATACCCAAATAAGGAAACTGTAGTTTCCTCAATAAATTCTCTTTTCTACAGATCAATTTGGGAGCCCAAACTGAGACACTTCTACAACAGGGTCAATAGGCAGCAGTCAGTAGGCATTATTTTGGGAGCTGAGATTATTATATTAAATTTTATTTAAATTATAAATTATATTATTTTTAAATTTTTAAAATTCCACATTCTGATCTGAACATTCAGACCATCTCAAGAAATCAAATGCCAGAATTCAGATTTACAGTCTTGAGTAGACACCTGAAATGAGCAGCCCATTTCATGTTTAAAACGGCTGAATTTCCCTGAAGGTAAGCGCATCCTTGTCCACAAATGCCTTGTGCACTTCTGCATAATGAAAACTCAGGAGCCGGTGTATTTAAAACAAGTGTTACATGTTGAGTGTTCCTGTCCTGATGCATTATTTATATCTCTGCCCTCTTTTCTCAGTGTGTACAAAAGGTCAAGTAGTGACAGGCCAGTACCGTATGCTTGCCAAGCATGGGGGATATGTATGGCTGGAGACCCAAGGAACGGTGATTTACAACACCCGAAACCTGCAGCCCCAGTGCATTGTCTGCGTCAACTACGTGCTGAGGTGGGTACAGGGGACACACCAGAATTCACATGTGCATTCACATGCTGGAGAAATGCAATATTTGGAGGAGCTTTTTAAGGGTCTATTTATTCAACACTGTTGTTCCAAAATCAGTTTAGTCATGTTTGTTCAGTCTTGTTTACTGATATTAGACATGGATAAAAAATGTGGCATGCCTGTTCCCATACATGCTGTCGAAACACACCACAGCCTTCCTCCTCTGCAGTGGCTGCTGTGCTCATACAACAGAATATAAGGTCTGCTTTTAAGACTGTATTGTGTAACACAACTGCTAATGTGTTTTGTTTTTCTAATGCTGTGACCATGAGATAAAACTAAGTAGTAACTGTATCCTATGTTGCTAGGAGAAGTTATTTACAGCCTTAAAAATCAGGACCAATCACAAGGTTTGCCTTCATTTGGCAAAACTCAAGTTTTTTTGGTCCTAGTTGGGGCCAAAATAGGAAATAGTTATTTGAGTGATAGTCTGGGTCATTATAGCCTTGACTACATCCCTTTAAAAAGCAGAGCAACAAAGCCCTGAGTATTCCCACAGAAGTCCTGACCACACTCTCTGCGTCATCCGAAATGGTGGTGCTCAGCAACGCTGGAACTGTGCCTCGCCTGTCGAGAGCCTGGCACGCAACTGAGGGGCCAAAATTCTCCTATAGCCCCAGCTTCAGAGAGTTTGTACTGCCTACTTTATCCACATCTTTCATCTTTATGGTACAAACTGCCTAAAACCTATTCTCTCGTAGTGAAATTGAGAAGAACGATGTTATGTTCTCCATGGACCAAACAGAATCACTCTTCAAGCCTCACCTGCTAACGATGAACACTGCCTCTGACAGCAGCATCCCTGCAACAGAGAAGAGTGACTTCTTGTTTACTAAGCTAAAGGAAGAACCAGAGGAACTTGCTCAGCTGGCACCAACACCTGGTGATGCCATTATTTCCCTGGATTTTGGTTAGTATTTGTATAAATTATTTTTGTGCAACAAAGAACCACATGTGAACCTACATTTAGAAACTTAATAGACAAGGTCTATTTGCTGTGTGTACAAATTGGGAGTAATGGCTAAAAGAGCCCACATGCTCACACCAGTGGAAAATTTCTGTGAATGAGAATCAGGCTTTCTTGCTGACTAAATAACGTGCATTAAGTCTATGCCAACTTATTGTCATGGCAACTAGGAGCAGTGTTTACTTTTAATGAATAGCTGCAGTTATATCATAACACTGCACCAGCTAAAAATATTCATTAATATTGTTCAATTCCTATCCAGGAACACAGAAATTTGAGGAAGCCCCTGCCTTCACCAGTGCTGTTTTGACACCAAACAAAACATGGCCAGTGGAAGTGAAAAGCCACCCTGCCCAAGGTGAAACACTGACGATACCATCCTTTACAATGCCTCAGATTGCACCTGGCAGCAGTACTCCAAGTGCAAGCAGCAACAGTAGTTGTTCCACGGTAAGAAGAGCTTAAAAAACATTAAAAACATGTTACGTTTTGTATGCAAATCCCATCAATAGATGTAGACAACATTTTTGTGTTGGCAGTCCTGTCTCACTGCTTATTTAGCAAGGCCTAGAGTATCTCTAGCCTTCCTGTACTGCATCATCCCTTAAGAATTAGCAGCAAAACTATCAAATGGGAGTAATATCCTGGCTTCAGACTGCAGTCCTCATTGTCTCCCCGCTGTCCCTTAGTAATTACTGTAACATATAAAACCATTAGTAGGAGAACATGCTACCACCTTTCATGGATTTAGCCTTATCTAAAAAGCCAATGTAAAATTGTGTGGCCACTGGGATCATTGCCCCAGACCCATCCTCCTTCTGTTAAGTAGAAGCTGTAGCTTTTAGAAAGCTTAGCCAAGTCAGGCTTTTGAGAGCAGCTCCATGGAGTTTCCCACTGAAGAAATGAACATGCTTCCATGGCACTGCCTTCAAGAGCTGGAACCAGAGGGCGTCCAGTCTTAAGAAAAGCATGGAGGTATTGTTAAGCATCTTCTTTCTTGACAAAAGTATTTAATGGTGTACATTTCTTGTTCCTGGTCTAAGTTGCCAAAAAACATCTAAAATAGGATGACAGCTAGGTTCCTGTAATGGGTGCTTATGTTTTGTGCTGACAATCTTGTGTCAGAGAAAAGCTTCTGATAGAAGTGGACAGTTTTGGGTGCTGAGCACACTAAATATACCATCTTCCCATTCACTTTTCATAGGAAAGATCTGTTACTGAGTAACAGCATGGTGTAAATGACACGATGCTCAGCCAGAACTGTGGTTGTCTTCCTGCTTATAACAAATGGTTATTTCCATGCAGCCCAGCAGCCCAGGAGATTATTACACTTCTGTGGATGAAGATCTTAAGATTGAGGTGATTGAAAAACTTTTTGCCATGGACACAGAATCAAAAAGTCAGTGCACCTCCCAG